GTTTTAAAACAAAAATGGTTATATCTATATTCAATGATTCATATCATTTATAAAGCACTTAATAAACAAAGAAATCAATGAGGCAAATATTTGTTTTTTGATGATATATTTTATTAATTATGTATATCGTTGAGGAAAACATCACTGGTTTAGGAAAATTTATCTTTAACGATGGGGATACGTCATCTATCTTCCTGAATGATCCCGAGTTTTTCATATATGTTTATCATTTGAAAGAAACGTTCATACAAATTAGAAAAGAAGTTGATCAATTGAAGTTTCGGCATGACGAAATCAAATATTATTTTGAAAAAGTGAAAACTTTCACGATTCACAGGTTCCCAGATGACTCTCCAAGATCAAGTAGTTTCTCTTACGCATTATACCTTTTAATTGTGTTCAGTTTTTTTTTTAAATATTTTATTTGAAATGATTATACTACTTAAATTTTTAATTTTAATACATGAATTCGTTATATTTATAAATTTAAATTTATTTTTTTAAAGATTTAATATTTATTTCCGTCAGAAATCCAATCGAAAAAGTGGTGGGTTTATTTTCGTCGGAAATCGGTGGAAAATACATCCATTCTATTTTTTTTTTAGTAATTTTCCCCCAAAGTTTCGACGGTCATTTTTACATTGATTTCCAATGGTTACATTTTCAATGGATATTTTTTTTCCCAACTGTTACACTTTGCACTACAGACAAATATGAATTGTTGAATATTTTAGCTAATGGTCGAATCTATCTGAATATTCGTATAGAAGAACTATTTCCATAAACTTTTCTACATGTACGAAATTGTCATTTTTTGTAGTGAATGTTGTATTGTATTTCTAATACATAATTTCAAANAAAAAAAATTAGGTTTTACCCTTTTGGTTTGTAAATAATATATTAGCCAATTTTTTTTAATATGTGTAAAAATTGTTAAAAACACTTGTAAAACGAAATGAGTACTAATAATGGTAAAATTTGACATTAATTAATGCAGTTAATGCTGTTAAAGCTCCATGTTTGCTAGAAATAATAAATACTCTATTTAAATGATGTTTAAAGTATTGAGCACAATTAAAAATCGTTTAATTGTAGTTTTCTCTAAACTAAAAACATCATTTGTTATATCTATAATAAGTAATCCAACTGATTATAAATCAATTTTCAAAATAAAAATTGTCATAAAGAATAAAATATAATTAATTTTGCATTGAAAGTTAAAACATCACTTAAAATAAGATAAAAATATTTGGCAAAAATATCACTTAAAATGAAAGGGAGAACAACATTAAGTATGTATATCTTTGAGGAAAACATCACCGGTTTTGGCAAATTTATCTTTAGCGACGTGGCTAATTTTTCTATCATGTTTGAATGATCTTGAGTTTTTTTAGAAACGTTCATACAAAATATAAACAAATTGATCAATTGAAGTTTTAGTATGACGAAACCAAAGATTATTTCGAAGAAGTAAAAACTTTCATGATGCACAAATTTTTGGATGACTCCCCAAGATAAAGTAGTTTCTCTTACGCATTATACTTTCTAATTATATTTATTTCTTTTTAAAACTATTTATTTTAAATGATTATTCTAGTTAAAATTTTAGTTTTAATATACGAATTTGTTATATTTATAAATTTAATTAATTTTTTTATAAATATTCAATATTAAATTTTTGTAATAATTTTTATAATATGTGTGAAAATTTAAAAAATAATTTGTAAAACAAAATGAGTATTAATGGGTAAAATTAGACATTTATACAGTTTATGATATTCAAAATTTATGTTTGCTAAAATATCATTTGTTATTTTTCTAATAACTAATCCAACCAACTATAAATTCATTTACAGAATATAAATGGGCACAAAGAATAAAAATATAATTAATTTTTCATTGAGAGTTAAAAACATCACTTAAAATGATATAAAACTATTTGGCTAAAACATCACTTAATATGATGAAACAAAGGGAGTAACATCACATCAAAATTCAATAAAAAACATATTTGTTTATTAAGGATACTTTTTCATTAATTATGTAAATCGATTTGGCAAACATCACCATAATTTATCTTTGGCGACGGGGCTCCTTCTTATATATTTCTCAATGATCCAGAGTTTTTCATAAATGTTTATCATTTGAAAGAAGCTTTCATACAAAATACAAACGAATAAGTTGATCAATTGAAGCTTCAACATGACGAAACCAAACATCATTTCGAAGTAGTAAAAACTTTCATAATGCACAAATTCTCGGATGACTCCCCAAGATAAAGTAGTTTCTCTTACGCATTGTGCATTCTAATTATGTTTATTTCTTTTTTACACTATTTATTTTAAATGACTATACTAGTTAAATTTTTAATCTTAATATATGAATTCGTTATAATTATAAATCTAATGTAATGATTGTGGACGAGTCTGTTTGTTTCTCTTTCCATGAATATAGGAAACTCTTACATGTCCATGAAGATGTCCTCGTTCATCATTAATGCTTCAATCGATGAATATTTGGTTCATCTCATCTAGGGTGAGTTGTGGAGACTAA